TGTTTCCCCTGACAGATCCCTGCCTGCCTCTGCCTTTGTTAAGGGCTAGAAGTTGAGCGGTGGCTGGTTCCCCTCTGCCTCTTTAACTTCTTGTGTTACAGTACATGGCTGTGACGTCCTGGCTACATTAGAAAGGCGGACAACTGAGTGCCGGAGCCAGACTCCTCCCTCCTCCCCGCACAACACACACAGCAACAAGCTGTTTCCCCTGACAGATCCCTGCCTGCCTCTGCCTTTGTTAAGGGCTAGAAGTTGAGCGGTGGCTGGTTCCCCTCTGCCTCTTTAACTTCTTGTGTTACAGTACATGGCTGTGACGTCCTGGCTACATTAGAAAGGCGGACAACTGAGTGCCGGAGCCAGACTCCTCCCTCCTCCCCGCACAACACACACAGCAACAAGCTGCTGCGAGGGTTGGCCCGCTCCCCTCCCGCGGCCAGCCCAGGTACACACCCGCCCGCCTCTTTCCTCTCACCTTCCAGCCCTGGAAACCCACCCCCCTGCCACAGCAACCTGAAGGCCACTGCATTCTTGGGTGCATTCGGCATCTCTCCGGCCCCCTCTAGGCGATGCAGGCTATTAATGCAAGCCAGGAATGCAACGGTTAAGACAAAGTCGAGCAATGCCCTTTCCCATCCCCAACAAGCCTTTCTGAAAGCCACCGACCCAGGGCGCTGGGGAGAGGAGGAGGGGCACAAAGGTAATCTGGTATTAAGACAGGCTGAAAAGTGTTCCACGCTGTGTGGGTCAGATCCCTTTTTTAAAAAAATACGCTCTTAAAAAAAAACCAAGTTAAATATGCGGCTGCCAAGTGGAGTTAATGAAAAACCCTTTGATAGTTAACTCATTTAGTGCAGCAGGCATGAAATAAAGTATGTGGCACAAGGCCAGATAATAAAGGCTCCTCTTTGGACATCCTCTGGGCTCCCTCTCCTAGGTGTGATTCTGGCCATCTCCGGAGTGAATTGGGCAGTTGTTTTGTACAAAAGGTTGCATTTAGTCCTTTAACTGTCCTACCTCTAACCCACCCATCCTTTTACCATAATTAACATGAGCGCTCAACAGATACATGACAATTTACCCTGAAGCACAGAAAATGCAAAACTCTAATTGAAGGTCTGGATCTCTGTACTTACAAGCAGCACATTTCTGATCCATCAAACAAAAATAAAATTGTAACATCAATATTTGGAGTGAAGGCGGGGGAGAGGATTAACTAAGCACAAAACATGGTAAGGTTCATGACAGGCATTCCTTTACTGAATGTGCCTATTGTGTAGTCTAGAAATGACCATTATTCATAGAGTCTGTTGGTCAGCAGCACTTTTATTCTATCAGGGCACTGAGCTTTAACTTCAAGGATTTGCACTGAACTAAATATTTACTGTCTCCCACCCTTAATTTTTTTAAAAGCTTCAGAAAGTTTGAGGTGTGTACATTTTGTTTTACTTCCCAATTTAAAAACCATTCTAATTTTTCAGCAGTGATCTTCTCTTGAAATCAATGAGGAATTATGTCTAAAAATCGATTGAACCACTGGGCCCAGAGTGATTTTCATAAGAGCGCTCTACAAGTTACTTTAAAAATCATTTACTGTGTAAATTGCTAAAAAGATGTAAGCAACAATAATGACCTGCAAAGGGGTGTAACTTTTGGACTTCAATACACCATTTGCCTCACATAGGTATGGCTGCAACACTGTTAAACTATAGCCAGAGATCATTTTTGTATGCCTTTCCTCCAGCAGGTTTCAACTTGTCACTTGAAATCTCATATTCTGACTCTTTACATATTCATTAATATGGACATCATAGAGAAATATGGTTGTCTTATACCTGGTTTTGGATTTGCTGCATCTACCTAGATTTTTACCCATACACACACACACCACACTACCCCCCTAGGGATGTGTAAATAAATAAAGCAGCCTGGTACCAGGTCTGAGTAGTAACACAAACGCATTCAGAGCTAGGGAGTTGAGGAAGTGGCGATTGGAGGCTTGGACTGTCAATCACAGTTAGGAGGCAGGCAGATGCAAAGCAGAACTACTTTGCATCGGCGTTTCCTATTTTTCTTTGCCACTCTCTCACTGTTAATGACAAAACAACCCCAGAGTTTAGGAAACTTGGCTATTTGCATGAAAAGAGTTGGTGTCCTTTAACACTGGAGATAGAAAGCATTCATTACTGCTACAGTGGGGAGGAGGAGATGGAGCACATTTAGCAGCAAGGATTGGAAAGAAGAAAGAGGGTGGGAAGAAGAGAAGGGAGAGTTGTGCCTCTCCCCAAAAAGGGACTTTGACCTTACAATGATCTCCGAGTTAAATATTTTTGTCACGGGTCAGATTATAACCTACACGGACTGTATCTAATTTATCATCTCATTCGTCTAAATTCATTATTTAATCATGCGCCCAGCAATCGTGTTTCCTTAAGAAAGGACTGACCTATTTTTGGCTGGAGATAAACGATCATGTTAACAGATGTTAATCTTGTAATCTGTTTTTCCTGTAAGCACTTCACATACCCGCATTTCAGACATTGGAAAAAAAAGTCTCTCAAACGACTTGACGTCACGATTCAGTTCTTATAAAAAATCTTGCAATGGTTTCAAAGACATTAAATCTTTTTGCACTTTATAAATGCTGATTTGTTCTGCCTCAACTCCCACAGGGTTTTATTTGCATTTCAAATTCCACAGGTTATACCAGTCGCCTTTTCAGAAAATGTAAACCAACAATAAGGCAGCAAATATGGGGTTGGGGGTGGAATCCTGCATCTGGATTAAATAAAGAGCAGGGTTCATGTTTAGGAAGAAGTCTGAACACATTTATTTTTGAACATCTAGTGTCCAAATGCCTCTTTAGCGATATGCGTCATGGACATAGACATACAATGCACATTCCCAACAAGATACTTGTCTACTGCCAGGAGCTTATTAACACTCATAACAAATGGTGCTAACTCCTAACCAGCACTTTTCAGTTTAAAACCCAGGGTTTCTTGGGAGTAGTTAATTGCAGAGGTTAGCTGGTTTTAAGCAAAAACAATGAGGTAACTGTCATTCGACACAAGGTTACACACACACACACAGCCTATGTTAATATCCCAACTCGTTTTCTTTTAACAAAGTTTACCCGGACAAAGTTTCCTAAACTTGTCGAAGCATAATTCAAATTAGGATCGCAACTATTTGGTATGCTAATTCTCACTGGAGATAGGGGGAGGAAGAGGAGGAGGGAAAAGAGGGGGAGGAGGAAAGCTTTTAATCGCACAAAATGTCTGGAATTGCATTATTTCTAGTCTTCTTTCTCTGTGTGTGTCCCTTTTTCTTGAATATATACATTAAACTCCCTCTTCACCCCCCACTTAATGGGCTATTTTCATCTTCTGGAAGTAATTGCTATACATTGTGCTTCAAACCCTTCTCAGCGTTCCAGTGTCCATACTGTCCTCCCCCCCCCCCAACTTCCTTTGATAAGCTGTGTACTTCTTTTCATGTTTATCATTCAGTATACACTCGCAGCTGAGGGGAGAGCAACTAATAAAAAGAAAGGAAAACACACACACACACACTCTAGGCATCAAAGCATTTCATGCATACACTGAATCAATACTACCCAGCAAAAAAACCCTTAATAATTTAAGTAGCTACTCCAGACTCGAAAGCTTAAGTCCCATCACCCACCTTCATTAGTCAGAGCATTTTACTTTAAAGTAAGGCAATTTGTTCTTTGTTTCTTCATGGATGAATATAGCATTCAGGCTCCCCCCACATCGCCTTTGACGAAGTGTACAAAGCCAAAAGGCTCGTACAGCCCATAAATTTCCCCAACAGTACCACCCCTGCAGTAACAATGATCTCCTTCTCGGCAAACAGGACAAAGTTAGCGTTTTTAAGTCCCTTACGTTACTGAATAAGATTAACCATTAATTGGAAAAGAGAAGTTTTTCCCACGGGCGTATTAAGAGGATTCATATCCCCCAACCTTCCGCCCCCCAAAAAGAGAAAAGGATCCTAGGGGAGATTTCCCCACCCCGTGCCTTACCTCGTTCGCGTAAGGTAATATTATTTGGGAAAGGACACACAGACAAACAAGAATCTGAAGGTGAAACCATGCGCTGAATGCAATAAGGAAAGAACTGCACATGATTCACTGCGCCAGCTCCACTCTTGCGGACGGGGGGGGAGCGACTTTCAAACCCTCTGTGCCAAGCCCCAACCCAGGGCCCCTTCAGCGCCAAACTTTCCCTTGCCCTTTGGCCAGCCGGGCTGCTTTGACTACCAAACCAAAGATCGAGCGTGGCTTTGGCGAATCCCGGTTGTTTTTCGTTGGTTCCCTCCAATGTATAGATTGATGTCTTCCCCCAGATGGGAGAATGGTCTGTCCTATATTAAATGCACACACTATCTACTATTGTCTCATCAGCAAAGTTCTAGTACAATGCGGGGAAAGTCTAGATGCTCGAAATGAGTCATATACAAATAATTATTCCACTAATAGAACTGAATCATTATCGGAGCTGTTCTGTATCTCACCTTCTTTCAAATGACTAAAACATTCAAGAGCTGAATTACTGTAAGAGATAGATAGATTAGATTAGATTTAGATTAGATTGCAAAACCCTATCTTTTCTATCTATTCTACACTGCCCATTTATCTAAACTCTGAAATGTAAGGGTTTGGAGTTGCTCCAGATGCATTTATATTAGAAACATCCTTTTTTTAACTCCACTGGTAAAATATTTATAGATTTATTCAAATGCACAGAAACAAAAACATTAAAGTCCTCAATCAAGATCAAAGGGTAATAGTGTTCAACAGTTATGCTGGAAGAGTTGAAAGAGCTCCGAGCAAATCAATCTGCCATATTCCTTTAAAAAAAATCCATTTCTATATTTGAAAAGTTCAAACCTTATTTTCCTGTATGTTTGTGAAGCTCAGTTTAATCGCCCAAAGTATGTGTGCTATAGGCGATGGGAACATGTTTAGTCTATGGCTAGAAACCCTAAATTAATCTTCTGAAGCTTGGTGCTAGACATCTCGGGTGTGTGAATGCTTGTTGTTTGTAATAATGCATGACGATGTATAATTGCCATGGTGGATTTTTGAGGCGGGATAGTATTATCTTTACACCCCAGAGCTTTCCTTTTTCTTGCCATGCTTCACCTAGGGGTAACTAGCAGTTAAAGAGAGGAATATACTGTCCCAATCATCCGTATGTGGACTTGCCAGACAATTGAGCTCTACGCTTGAAAACGGTTACCTAGAGCTGTGGTTTTTGTGCAGGCAACATTTGACTTTGCTGTGTCACTCCTCCAACTTCTTGCACTTGCGACAGAAACTACTACAGGCAGCTTCCCAAATATCCGATCCTGCTCTTAACCCCTACACTAGTCAAGGGTTATTACCAGGGGACTTGGAATAAAGAAAAGAAGGCAGGAACAGAAGGGGTGGGGGGAGGAGCAAGCAAGAGAAAGTTTGTAATGAGGATACACGAATCATAAAATGTAAGCTATGTGTGATTAATGATCTGCACTAATTTGAATAGCAGGCATGTTAAAGGTCATTGACAATTGTTGCTGGTTTCAGCATGAATGCCTGAGTGGGATGTATTATGTTTGAACAATCAAATTTACTTCTAATTCACAGAAAAATATTAGGCATAGACATATCTTATCTAAATGCACACAAAAGACACTTTTTAATAATGCAATTTACATATGTTTCAGGAGTAGTTTCTTCACCCTAATGTAGTGTTTTTAAACGCTTTCCTGGTGGATAACCTATACTCATAAAATCTGTTTTGTTCCTTATGCTTTCTAATCTTTCCTACATATTTTTTTTAACTCAAGGCCAAAATCTGTTCTCAGTTACTCCAGTTGTTGTAAGGACACTGACTGGTTATTCCAAATATGCACATGCATAGATAGGAGCAGAATTAATCTCTTTAAAACTAATCACACACACAATGCCATGTGCATATTTTCCTAATCATTACAGTTTATATAATACTTTAGCATTTCTTTACACAAAGAATAAAATATCCATTATAAATCAGCATTCCTGGGCAGTATTTAAAACTACAGTATTAGGCTAATAATTTCCATATGGTGAAAATTGACAGCTTATACCAATGAAAGGTGCATGAGATTTCCAAACTCCTCCACATAAAAATGAGATTTTCATGACCTGCCTCTTTTTCTCTCTAGTCTGTATAGATTCTTTCCTTTAGACAGTAAAATGTGAGCTCACTCAAAGCTATGCTTACTGCATCTCTATACAGTGCCCTTAAGATTCTTAATATTTTCCACATTTCTTTTCCATAGGGCTCAGTCCTTCAGTAAATAGTAGGGAATGGGTCTCTAAAGGAGAACTGAAGAACTGGGCTTCAAGTTTAGTAAATGAGCAAAACTCAACATTAATGGAATCCCAAATTCAGAAGAGTCACAGTCATTAACAAGCTGTATGTCAATCATGGAGGAAGACACTAGGGTTCATTTATCCATGTAGCTTTAAATAGTAGATTGTCATGTTTCTCCAGCTGATTCCAGAATTTCTGGTTTCAGAAACCAAAATGAGAAGATCAATATGCAAAGTTAAATACTTAAAAATATGCAAACAGAATTAGTATAACCTAATGGGTACTGCTAAAAGTTTCAAGTAGAGAAGATATTTGTTAATTTTAAAATATGTTATTATCTTGCTATCTTAGTTGATTAACCTGCTTATCAACACTGTTTGCCAATTTTATCTTTTTCTGAAATCTTCCCAGAGAAGTACTCCCATTTCAAATTCTTTAGTTAAATTACATTATTTTGTATGAGATTGTCAATGATATTAATGGCTCAATACACGTTTTGCTATTTATAGGCTAGTATGTATAATAAGTCTGGCTAATGAAATACACAGAGCAGGAAAACATTTATTTACTTTTGCTACAGTCTAATAAATTATTTGTTCAGCATTTGGGACTAAGCTTTCTCAAGCTAAGGAAAATGGCATTTTGATGAAAATCTGTGCAATGACTTGTCTGCATAACTTAGCCTTAGGAATGATTGGTGGAAGTTTAGATAAGAAGGGTTCCTGAGAAATGCTATAATAGAATACCAAGGAATAAAAGGCCATGTCACTGTAAAAGCAGGAGGTGAAAACATATGTAAAAACTTCAAAGCAGGCAAACAAACCAAATTTTGATTATATATTACATATTCATATCATATATACAGATACTTTCAATGAATTGTAACTAGAGTAGTAAGTTGTTTTAGTTCCACTATATGCTAATTCAGAGTTATTTAATTCTAGTGCTGTTGAGTATGATTTTTTTGGTACAAAGACATCTGAAATGTATAAAGTACATCTAAATAATGCTTATCAGGATGACCTGAGGCCATTTGTCTCTGGAAGATTCTACCTGTATATTACAGAACTCATTTAAATTGGCAGTTTACTTGGTGTCTTTCATCAAGTTTGTTGAAAACATTCCTTACCAAACCCCCCAACTTTACAGTCTGAACTCTGCCTTCATCTCCTGTTTTTATCTAAGCCAAGGTTTTTGCATACAAAGTATACTCAGGGTAAAATAAAGCACAACAACAGTAAAACAAGTGAACTTCTATCTATTATTTACCATTCTAAAATGGAGTCTTACTACTGAATTTAGAAAAATTTTTATTTACAGTTAAGTGCCATTTTAATGAAAGTGTGTAGGACCATGGTTAATTTCTATCTGTGACATGAATTCCACCGTGAAACAGAGAGAGGGTTTCAGTAAGTAACAAATAAGTTGGGGTTTTTTCTGGTAAAACACACTGATTTATAATCTGCGCCACAAATATTTAGATATTATTTAGTAATCATACAGTGCCAGATCCTTTCTGAAGTTTGTACAATGACAATTCATTATTCCCTTCTCGGCATAGTTTTACATACTGATGTGCTGTGAATCTGCATGAGCTGGAGGTCAAGCTCTCGTGCCCTGTTAGTTTAGTCACGCATAAATCCAGCAAATAGTTTGAAATAATACTTTCCATTAGGCAAACTTACAGTGTATACACAACCTTTCTACTTCTGAAGATTCCTTCGACATGGAACCACACCAGAGTTTTTGACAAGTCTCATGACAAGTTATTATTTCATGGGTGTGAGAAGATGTGGTTCAAATCCTGCTTGAGTAGCTCATGTGAGTTATCCCATTGCCTTTAATGGACCCACTCACATAAATAAAGTGAGTGGGAGTTGACTCTACAGTCCCATGTGTGACCCATGTTATAATTAACCTAATTTTTCTTTATGACAGAACTAATCTCGTGAACTCCCTCACATAATCAGCATTTTTAACTGTCCTGTCTGTCATTTTTCCTTCTCACATAAACACAGTTGCTGAGCTAAGAAGGATTCTGATTTTTTACACTTTGTTTCAATTAAGCCCAGATCTCATACTCTGTTTTAAATCCACTTATTCAGCTGAACTTTAACAATTCACATGAGGAAGAAAGCTGAAATGGTGGATGTTCAAAGTAAGTACCGCTTTAGTTCACATGGTTATTTTAGCTTCGTAGTAAGTACTGTATAAAAATACCAATTTTTCCAACCTAGGCAATCACAATTTTCTCACCCATATGCAATTTTATAAATTACATCAGAGCTTCACAGCAGGTAGAGAACCCACAAACCTGTTATTAATTTCAGCTTCACTGAAAGAATCTCAACAGCTGGTTTCAAAATAGCAAATATGGGATTCCACAGATGTGGCCCATAATAGTTTTAGAAATAAAAGGAAGTAGGCCACAAAACAGAATTAAGTTTAAGAAAGATAACTTCAGTAAGGATGCCTGTTTTTAAAGATTTCCTATTTTTGGTAGGGCATATTCCAAAGATTTTTTTTTCTTTCCATGCAGACTACAGATTATGAAACTACAATGCACTAATCGTACTGCACAGTGAGTCTGAGCC